CTATTTTTTTTTTTTTTTTTGTCCACTTGTGTTTTTTCAAACAGCCCATCTTCAAGGTCAGAAATTCTCTCTTCTGCTTGTTCTAGCCTGCTGGTTAAACTCTCTGTTGCGCTTTTTATTTCATTGAATGAATTCTTTAGTGCCACAAGTTCTGCTACATTCTTTTTCAGGGCATTGATTTCCTTGTATATTTCTTCTTTCAGATCTGTATACTTTTTCTCATTTCATTGTGTTGTCTAACTGAATTTTCTTGTATATCATTTAGTTTCCTTACATTTGTTGCTCAAAATTCCTTGCCAGTCACTTCAAGGACTTCCTATTCTATAGGATCTAGAGCTTGAGGATTATTATTACCCTTTTGTGGTGGTGTACTTTATTGATTTTTCATATTTCTGGTATCTTTCGTTTGGTGTTTAGTCATTGTGACAGGGGATTTCATGGTCCACTTCTTCCATCATAATGTCTGGCTAGGATCCTGCAGGGACTGCCAATTTGGCACAGCTGCCTTGGTGCCTCTGGGCAGGAGGCTTGGGCCTCTCTGGGCCATGGGGACTGGCCTGGGCTGGGAGTCCTGCAGCAGCATCTACCTGTTCTGAGGTGGGTGGCTTGGGGCATTGTGAGCCTGGTGTCGTTAGGGCCTCTCTAGGAGGTGTGCACTGGCCTGGGCTGGGAATTCCACAGCGGTGCCTACCTACTTTGGCATGGGTGCTTTGAGGTGTGTAGGCCTGGCAGCTCTCAGGCTTCTGTCAGCATTTTCCACTTTCTAACATATTACACAAATTATGTACTATGTTTATTGTCTGTTTCCTTCCACAAGCATGTAAGCTCTGGGAGGGCAGGAATTTTTGTCAGTTTATCTCACAGATGCATTCTGAGGTCTGAGAATAGTGCCTGGCCATTGCAGGTGCTACAGAGTATTTGTTGAAAAATTTAATGCAGCATCTTAGTGTTCCACTCTTTACTTTTCAGCACAGACTGCACTTTTAATGCCTATAAGAGCCAAGGAGGTAACATGCAAAGTGAACGGGCTAGGAGGGGACAGAGTAAACTGGACAGCCTACACCTGTGTCAAGGGGTGGCCCCTCCTGGACTCCAGCTGATTGTTACCCTATAGGGATGAAGATTTCATCTCCTCAGATTCAGCTTTACAAACAAAGCCCGAAATCCAGATTTCTATGTAAAATCTCTCAGTGTGAAATGGTTATAACTAGTTCAATTAGAAGGATTGTGGGAGCCAAGAAAAACCCCTGCATGGGTCACCCTTGGCCCTTTTCTTGGCCTGTGCTCTGCACCAACATCAGTTAATTCTGCAGCTCAGGATGGACATCACCAGCCAGACCTGTCTCCCAGCCTCCAGGTTCTATATCCAGTTCCGTACTCAGTACCTCCACTTGGCTGTCCAATGGCCCCTCACATTCAGTGTACCCCAAAACTGAGCTTCTGATCCTCCCCTTCAAATCTGCTTGCCCCCAGGTTCCCTGGCTCAGTAAATGGCACCCTGCCCTCCTGCCTGCACAGGCCAGAAATGTGGTCACTCTACTTGCCATCTCCCTCTCTCCCCCGACACCCAGTCAATCAGTGAGTCCTTCCTCCCTCCTAACATTTTCCACTTTTGACACTTTTCTCCAGCCCTGCCACCACGAGCCTGGTCCAAGCCACCAGTACTTCTCCTTGGTGGACTGCAGGACCTCCTAACAGGACTCCCCCTCTGTCTCTTTGTCATCTCTGAACTTCAGCCAGAGATCTTATAAATCTTGTCAACCAAATCTGACCATCTCATGGCTCATGACCTACATAAGACTCCTCAGTGCACATTGTGGTTAGATAACCGCATATCTTGAATGCAGCCTCCAAGGTCCCACATGGGGCCATGTCTGCCCCTCAACCATCCCCCTCGCTGGCCCAGCTCTGGCCATATGGGCCCATGTCTGGGTCCTGGAATGCACCTGTGCTTTCCTGCTCAGGCCTTAGTGCACAGGGCTCCTTCTCCCTGAACATCCTCCATCCTTCCCCTTCTGCCTAGGGACTTCTTGTTCCTCTTTCAAGCCTCAGCCCAAATGGTGCTTCCTTGGGGAAGCCTTTGTCACCTTCCCTGCCAAGAGGTCATGTCCCCAATGTACCCTCATAGCTACTGTACTTTTCTCATGTCATTCAGGACAATTTCAATTCACTGATTCTCTTAGGTAGTTATTTGTGTCTTCTCAGCCTCCCTTACTCTTCTACATGCTCCATGACGGCAAGGACCGTGTCTCTCATGCCATCACGGTGTCCCCATCACTCCTGACAGCACATGGTATAGATGGAGACTAACATACATTCAGAAGAAGGAGAGGGGGGTGTTCATGGGCCAATCCTGAGCACCTGCCAGGCCAGGTGCTTAGCTGGGCTCTCAGCGTCCACGAGTCACTCTCCTGGCCAGACTTCTCTCCCACCTCTTCCATTTTTACTTTCCTACAGGAAAGCAGAGGCTTTTTCAGGGAGGGTGCATCACCCAGTGGGAAGGAATCTTGCTTAGGGGAACTCAATTATCTAACCTTTCTTTCTTTTTTATTACTTCATTTTTTTTATTATAAGCATATTCGTCATTACAAATTGTAATCCTTCCCCATGCCCTTCACCCAACCTATCACTCCCCAACCTCTCTCTCTCCCTCCTCCCCATCACTAGTATCCTTAGATTTGATCTCTTCTTCTGAAAGTTCAATGCACTACTGTGGTCTTGTCTGTCTGTCCTTCATTCCCTCCTTCCTTCCTTCCTTCCTTCCTAGCACCCAGTTATGAGTGACAACATGTGGTATTTCTCTTTCCGTGCCTGGCTTATTTCACTCAACACAATTTTCTCCAGGCTCATCCATGTTGCTGCAAATGGCAGAATTTCATTCTTTTTTATGGCTGAGTAGTATTCCATTGTATGTATACCACATTTTCTTTATCCAGTCATCCACAATGGACATAGGTTGGTTCCAATAGTTTGGTTATTGTAAACAGAGCTAAACTAATCATCAGGGAAATGCAAATAAATTTTCAAATTAAATTCTTTTCTAGCTTATATTTTAAGGCTTTATTTCATTATTTACTTGCTTGTAACATTATTCATTATTTACTTGATTGTTACTTACATTAACATGGTTTTTTCAAAAGCACAGAGTTCAAACGGGACACAGTGAAAGGTCTCTATCTCATCCTTGGTCCCATCTGACCAGTTCCACACCCTCAATCCCATGCGTAAACTCTGCTTTTAGCTTTTCATATATCCTTTCAGAATTTCTTTAGGTATATACAAGCAAATACAACTATAAATTCTTCTTTCTTTACCTTTTTTATACAAACGTGAGAATGCTGTACTTGTATTTTGTTTTCCTCTCAATAGTGTATCTTGCTTTTTCCACTCAATTCTGTATCTCGACAGGCATGTGTCCAGTGGTTCTACCTCTACTTGCACCTTGGAGCTGCCATGTGGGGGCATCTCTGAACCACCACCACCCTACTTGGGTAACTGACTAGGGGTACAAACAGGAGCCTTTGCCCCCTCTATTTCCCAGAGCTGTTCCATGTCAGTTGAGTGGCTGAGGAAAAAACCTCCAGCTCCCGAGGCAGCCGGAACACCATGCCGGCAGAGCTGGCTGTGGTCCCAGGCCCTGACACCACCCCAACATACCTTCCTGGGAGTCCCCCTGACTGCACACCAGCTGAGCCCTTTCATTTTTGATGACCTGGAGCACCAGTTCTCAACTAGGGGCAATTTTGCATACACATACACACATTCCTGTCCTAATTCAGCAGTGTCTGGAGATATTTTTGATTGTCACAGCTATAGGTGGGGAGATTGCTATTGGCCTATAGCAGGTAGAGGCCATGGAAGCTGCTAATGCACTGGACAGTCTATATGACAAAGAAGTGTCCATCCCAAAATGTCAATAGCACCAAGGCTGAAGAAATTTGACCTACAGAGACTCAGAAGTTAGAGGTCATGCCTGTATTAGCTGGTTAGGAGGTTGAAGTGCATGAGAAGAGCACCTTCTTTCTGAGGAGAGCCTCTGTCTCCAGGGCTGCTCCTGAGATGTTCAAACCTATATATTTATTCCTAGCACTGAGGCTTTTCCTCCCAGAAGAGGGAGGACAGGAGGAGCTAAGGAAGTGAGGAGGAGTCTTTTACTCCCTGGGCTTTGGAACACCTCACTTCCTCACATTGTCACTTGATTGCAGGACCAGGCCAGGTTTTCCATGACTCTGGCCACTGAGCTGTGTCTCGGAGGCTGCTGCCTATATAAAGGTGGTGCAGAACTCTAGAGAAGGCCCTTTGCACCATAGAGTCATGCAGTGCACAACTGTGCAGCAGTAAGTGACGGTCCTGATGCCTCTCTTCCTCACACGGCCCTGAGGCCCAGGCTTCAGCCTCCTGTTCAGTCGTTACAGTTTATGGAGTGCACAGTAGGAGCCAGGCACTGAGCCGGAGCTGGGCAGATGAGACTGATTCCCAAACCATAGAGCTCATCAAGAGAAAGAGATGTTTAGACAAATTATCATTAAATATATGAGAAACACGGGCTCTAAGGTATCAAAAGAGGGGACATCTGGGGAGGCTGCACAGAGAAGGCAGCATTTTGACTGGTTCTTAAAGGATACCAAGGGTCTGGAGAGGGGCATTCAACCAGAGAGAATAGAGGATGCGGAAGCCTGGCAAGTAGACAGGGCTCAGACTGAGAAGTTCGTGTGTGCCACACTAAGGAGTGTGGATTTATCGTGTGGGCCGCCCGAGGTGTTTAAGCAGGGGCGAACTCACGGACTCGTAGATTACAAAGGTGAAATGCATTGGTGCCATTCCTGTCTCGCCTGCACTTACCACCCTTCCCTCCTTATCCGTGGCTCTCCTGCTCCGGTAGCATGTAGCCTTTGCCCCTGTGCTTTGCCTTCAAGGACACCAGGCAAGAGAGAGTAGGAGGTTCTCTCTGCCTGTGGGGCCTTTGTCAGTAATCCTGTCTCATGTCCTCGTCCCTGCAGTTCATGACCAAGAACCCCCATAAGCGTCTGGGCTGCGTGGCCGCGCAGAATGGCGAGGATGCCATCAAGCAGCACCCGTTCTTCAAGGAGATTGACTGGGTGCTCCTGGAGCAGAAGAAAATCAAGCCGCCCTTCAAGCCACGAATTGTAAGTTGGGCCCCGAGCACATGCCACACCGTGGGGCAGACCTGGGCACTCGTGCGGCAGGCCTTGTGTGTCCTGAATGCGTGGTCTTGGGGCACGTTTACAGCCAAAGTGACAAAGGCAGAATGTGGCCAGGACTCTCCTGTGGGGCAGACCTGGGCACTCGTGCGGCAGGCCTTGTGTGTCCTGAAAGCGTGGTCTTGGGGCACGTTTACAGCCAAAGTGACAAAGGCAGAATGTGGCCAGGACTCTCCGTAAGAGAGGGTTCTCAGGCCCTGAGCATGTTACTGTAGAAAATATGTCCTGATGTAGCTGTCAAAAGCAGTAACCAAGATGGTGACTTATATGGGCCACAGAAAAACACTTTTTATTTTAATAGAGCTATTTATTTTGATCAAAAGTTACAACTGATACTAGTTTTTGATGTATGGTAGAGATGTAAGGTTTCTTTATAGGTAAATGGGTTTGTTTTTAGTTAGTTCATTTAAAGAAAAATATTAACTGAATAATAGTTATGGTCATTATGTGGGACTAGCACAGAGTGTGAAGCTGGGCCTCAGTGACTGACAGCTGAGAAGGACTGTCCCTGTGGGAACCCTTGGAGAGGACTAATCTGTAGGAGGTCGTTTCCCTGGTCCTTTTCAGAGATTTCTTCTTTCTTCTCTGCCCCACATCCCTCTGCTTTCTCTCAGCCTCAGATCTTAGGCCTGTTGTGGTGCCAGTGGGAGGTGGGGTGTGATAAAGGGTGTTTGAAGCTCAGAGGTTGGCAGGAGGACTAGAACTGCAGTCTGGGCTTGACTCAGAGAACAAAGGCCATGTCCTGGTAGTGGCCTTCTGCTGGAATGGGGAGAGGGTTGGTGGTATGCTCCTTAAAGTGTGTGTGTATCTGTCTGTCTGTCTGTGTGTGTAGGGGATATCTTAATTCTCTTGCTTTTGTAGCCCAATGAGGAAATTGATGGTTCAGACTGAAAGTGTGTGTGGCCAACTGGCAGGCTTACTGGGAGGTGAGAGGGTGTGTAATATAAGACTTTATTGGGCAGGAGCCCCAGGGCTGTGGGGCTGGGGTCCTGAGCAGGAAAGAGCTGAGATTATCCACTCAGCCCTCGGCCACCCTGCATTCTGTCAGATGAGCCCTCTTCCCCACCTCCAAGTACAGAAAAGGCCCCCTGTGCTTTGTGAGTCATCACAGAGGAATTCCATTCTATTCGAGGAGGTTTTCTGGGGAGCCGTTATTGGCAATAATGCGACTTGTAGAAAGGTTCCATGGGGTTGCGGGGTAAACGCTCAGCTGATGGGCATGTTCCAGGCCTCAGCCAGACATGGAAGGTTGACTGTCCCTGGACACTCAGTCCTGTCTCCATTCCACATTGGCTTCCTCCTTTGGGCATCATGATTTTCTTTGGGCAGCACACAGCTTAGGACAGGCAAGGTGTAGGTTCCCCTTCTTTCTTTGTTAATATCACCTCCACTCCTGCCTTTCCCCATAGCTCCAGGGTCCACAGTGCCAAGCCCATGCTGTGGGTTTGGTAGATGGGAGGGTTTGGGGCAAGCTCCCTGGGCAGGCTCACCGCTCATGCCAGCCTGCATAGTGGCTGGAGGCCTCTGCAGGTGGGGCCTCTGGGGGCCTCTGTAGGCGCTCATAAAGGACAGGATTAACTGTGCCCCTGACAAAGTGGGGGAAGTAGGACACCAAAGGCCTAGCAGAGGAGGAGGAGACACTAAAGACTCAGATTTGAGGGTAAATTTTGATTTTGATTTAATCTACTACATTAATTGACCCAATGAAAAATGAGAAGTAGAGCTACATAAAGAATCTAGGCCCAAGAAACAGGAATCCAGGATGATGTCAGGGCTGATCAGACATCAGCATAGGTCTACCAAAGGACTTAAGCCTAAATCAAGACTCTAAGTCAACAAAACCTCTAGGCTTATGGAGCACCAGGCCTGAGTGGAGGAGCAGCCCCCTCCTGCTTGGCACAGCGTGGAGGGAACCAGGGAGGTCTGGGGGGACCATCTACAACGCAGGTGAGCACAGAGGAAGCCAGGAATCAGTGTCGAGAGGCCACGTGGAGGGATGGAATTAGGGAAGAACGTTAATCACCAAAGGCACACAGGCAGTTTTAGCATGTGGATTCACAGAGAATGGTCTCTCCCCGGGGTATAAGATGGTAATGAACACTGATGGCCAAGGGCCTTTCCCAGGAGTTTTTACTCAGATCCAGCAGAGGCACATGCTCTGGGATTTAAGGAGCCCTGAGAAGCTCTGGTCTTCCCAAAGCCCTGGCAATGCCAGGAACTCCTAGCTGGGCCTTCCAGTCTTTAGTCTGAGACTTGGAGACAAACAGAAGGGCAGGCCTTCTGAGAGGAGCCTGGCTTCCAGCAGTGCCCCCTGCCCCTCAGAGGGAGAGAAGGAGCAGGGTGGGCCATGAGGAGCAGCTGTGAGGTGGCCGTAGGCCCACAGGAAGGGAAGAGCCCAGACACAGAGGAAAGGGGACAGGAGAGCAGAACAGCTCAGGAGGTGCCCACACATGACCTGGCAACTGATGGGAGGCTTCACCTCGGTTCAGGCTGGCAGGGAGTGCCTTGAGCTTCCTTGGCCAAGAACAAAGGCACTCCTGTGGGCAGGTGCGTGAGGGGCCCCCAGCTACCAGCAGGAGGAAGTACATCCCTGGGTCGGGGTCAGGGGAGTCAGTTGTGCCAGGGGGTCAGGTGGGCCTACACCTCCTCCTGGACACCTGGAGCACCAGGGACCAGCCCTCCACTCCTTGGGCCTCTCGAGAGCCCTCCACCTGGGACGTGGGGGCAGGACCCTGCTCGCTTCCTTTGCTGGAGGGCTCAAGTTGGCTTCCAGGGGCCTCACTGCACCCTGAGAGGATGGCAAGAGGAAGGGCAAAGGCCGTCCAGAAGTTACCACCAATTTCAAAATTGTTGTAGTCAGACTTCCTAAAAATGACTTCATCTTTTACTTGGAAATCATCTGTGTGTGTTCATATTCTGCCCCATCCCGCCTGAGCCCCAGAGTCATCCTCGACACCACGGGGATGAGGGGGAGGGTGTTTTAGGCTGGGCTGAATTTGGTTGGGAGGAGAGAATGAGAACATCTGGAGGAAGGAAGGAGAAAACGGAAAACTTACATTGTGCAAGAGTTGTTGCTGGACACACTTGGAGCTGAATAATGTTTATCCCAAGAGAGTTGTCAGCTACATGTCTCTAAAGACTTATTCAAGTTATTTAAACATCTGGTCCCATGTACGTCCTTGGGACTAGAGACTTCTCTCAGGAGAAACACCAAAATGGGAAAGAAAAGAATAGCCCTTATCGAGTTAGCAGGTGGGAAAGGTGTCCCAAATCTGTCCCTAAGTTAAAAGCTCTTTTCTAAATAATGTTAATGGCGCCAGCCTGAGTCATCTGTGAGTTTGTGTATAGCAGAAATGCATTTTAAGCTGAACTAAAGCCCATTCCAGTGATCAGTATACTGTATTTCTCATCTCAGAAAGTCTTGTAGGACCAATGTGAAAACTCACCCGATGTGTTTATAAGCCATTGCCTTCTTCTAACCAGCTCGGGGTTAACCTGGGTTATGGGCACCTGCTTGGCTCATGTACCAGCAGTGAGGATAGCTCTGTGCTCCATAAGCAGGGCCAGCCTTCCTGTAGGCAGGATGGATGGTCACCCACACAGGTCATTGGGGAGGCACTGGGCAGCTGAGGTTATGTCCCCGCAGAAGTCCCTTTCTGGGCAGGGAGTTCCATTATGAGGCAGGCTTTCCTTGGGCTTAAGGAATCATATAACTTGAGGACACATCAGATGCCTTCCTAGGAGAGCTGAGCAAGAAAGGGTTTTGCCAAAAGGAGGAAGGAAAACTGGTTTAGAGCCCAACATTGGGAAGAAGTAGCCAGGACAGTGGATCACAAGCAGCCAGGGACAATGATTAGATTCTGGGTCTTAGGGACAGACATTAAGTGAAAGGAAAGATACTGTGAGAAGGGAAAGGGTCAAGTCTATGAGCAAACATCACCAGCCTCACAATGTGGTGGTGGCCTCAGGGAAGCATTGGTCATGTGTTTATACAAGTAAGGAAACCAGATGCACAAACTTCCCTAATCTGGTGAGACTGAAGACCTCCAGGGTGATTCAGTCAAGTGCCTGAAGCCTATGCAGAAGCACCAGGTTTCCTCTGGCTTGGGCCAGCTCTATTTGCTCCCCAGCCATGCCCCATTGACATCAGACCAGAATGTCACCCAGCCCCAGAAACCTGCTGAATAGCTAGCTGTGCCCCTCTCCTCAGCTGGCCGTACTGAGTCTGAGTAACCTGGGGGTGACCAGCCTGTCTGATTCAGGAAGGAACTGGTTTTGTCAGTGTGTAGGTGCTGGAGGTGAGGCTGGGAGAGATCGTGGCATCCAGTCTAGGACTTCAGAAGAGCCAAGGTGCAGTGGCAGGGTATTCCAGAGCTCTTGACACCCCCCACCCCCCCACTCCCGTGCGAGGATGGAGCCTGTCCCTCCATCTGTGGCAAACCTGCCAGGCACAGCGAGCCTGCTCTCTGTCCAGCTGACTCAGCTGGGGGCTGGGGTCCCTGGGTCACCCCCAAGGGGCTAAGGATGCATCAGGAGACCAGCTCCCAGGTCTGCCTTCCATTCCTTCCACAGGAAACCTCACCCCTCTGAAGATCTTACCAAGGAGACTGTCCCTATTTGTGGCTGGGATTTGGCCTTTGGTTGGGTTCCATCACATACCTTGCTGGCTGCTGTCCCCTCCAGGCTTTGCCTTCTTGAGATGTTTGCTAAGCTGAGATTTCTGCTCCCCTGGTGCCTTCAGCCTCCCCATCTAACCCTGCCCCGACTTGCCAGCTGTCAGTAGTCCCACTGGGATTCCTGCCTTCAGGTTGGCACCACTTGCTCTAACCTCTGCCCAGGATGTTTTCAGTGGCCTCTGCTTCAGCCTGGAGCTTTTCCTCTTGTGTGTCTTCCCAGCTGTCTTATGTATTCTCCCTCCTCTGCTT